GCCCGGGGAGAGAAGGGGGCACCGGGGGAGGGGGCCGCCAGTGGCGGAGGGGAGCTACAAAGCTCCTTGCGCCGACATCACTGCGCGATTTTCCCCTCCCGTGGCCCAACCCCGGCTCACCAGACCGCAGAAGAGCTCCCGGAGCTGCGCGGCGTCCTGCAGCAGGCGGTCGCAGAGCTGGTCCCTCTTCTCCTCGCTCTTGCACACCATCTTCTTCTGCATGAGCGCCTGCAGGTACTGGCTCGTCACCAGGAGCTCGCTCTCTGTCAGCAGGAGCTGGGGCAGGGGAGAGCTCTCAGTGCTGGGTGTCAGACCCCAGTTGCCTGGGTGTTGCCCCCCCCAGCAGCCATTCGGAGCCCCGACGGTACCGTGAAGATGGGTTTCCTGACGCGGGAGAAGTCCTTCGCGTACTTGTCGATCACTTCGCACATGCTGCCGACGAGCTGGGACCCGGAGAGCCACTTGCGGGAAGGCAGCTGCAGGCAGAGGGGCTGAAAGAAGCAGAGGAGCGGCGTACGGTGCCCCGCGTCGCGCTCTCGCGGTCCAGCGGCAACCGCGTCCGGCAAAACCCCCCTAAGCCCCCCATTGCCAGCTGGAAGTCACCAGGAAAACAGCGGAGCGGTCTAAATTAGACAATTACGGAAATGGACCAGGAGCATCCCTTGGTGACACCCAGCGATCCATGTTTTGGGGCTTTTTCTGGGTCCCAGCGTGGGCAGCACCCCAGGTCTGGGCAGCAAGCTGCTCCTCGCATGCCTTCTTTTGGCCCGTCCCGCTGCGATTTTATTTTTTATTTCCACTGCTCTCCGCTTCCCTTTTGTAGGCATAATGTGGTTTTTTCGCCAAGGGCTTTGATCTCCTACTCCTGCCCTGCTGTCCTCACTTGTCTGTGGGCAGGCATCCTCTTAAAGTCTGGGACCTGAGTGTTTTTCCCCCTTTAGCTTCTCCTTTGTTTTTGTGACATTGGAGCCCTAAATAGCAGCGCCATTAATTATTCCAGATTTTCGGTCCAGGCTCTGAGTGTTTCCCCCTTTAGCTTCTCCTTTGTTTTTGTGACATTCGAGCCCTAAATAGCAGCGCCGTTAATTATTCCAGATTTTCGGTCCAGGCTCCAGGAAAGCTAAATTTGACCGTGCTGGCAGGAAACGACTCGTGGCAGTCGTACGTGGGCTCGGTTCCTCCCCAGGGCCAACCTCCTGTTGGTTTTCTGCTGTGAAACAGTGGTGAAAAGGAGCGCGAGCCAGCCCTGGGGAGGGGGATGGCGGCGGGGCTGCGGCTCCTGGGCTCTGTCGGTCGGTGATTTGGGGGCCGCGAGGCGTCTGCCCCGGCGATACAGGGCATCGGGCGCACCGCCGGTGGTTTATCGAGGTCTGGGAGGCCAAACTGGCAGAGATGTCTGCAGGCTGATAGCCACAGGGCTACGTTGTGAGGATAAACCCATTCCCGGGCGTGTGGTGGGGCTGGTTTTGGGTGTAGCGGGGCTGTTCTTGCTGGGGCTGCGTTTGCTGCGGGCCTTCCAGCCCTGGGGGGTGCAGGCAAACGGAACTGCAGGGCCCCGCAGCCCTCGAGCCGCAGCTGGCAGGCTTTCTTCTGCGTCCTGTCTAGAGCATCCCGGAGGGATGCAGGGACTTCTCTGCGGGCGATGTCGGGGTGCAGGGAGGAGACAGAGGAGCTAAGAGAGAGAGAAGAGAGGGGTCAGGGAGTTTGGGAAGCACGGTGGGCACGCCAATCCGCAGAGGGATGGGGAGGATGTGGCTTCCTTTTGGGCGGTGGGGTTGCTCCAAGGCGCTGGTGCACGTTACCTGAGAGCCAGGTTGTTGTTGAGCATGGCCAGGAGGTAGGAGATGTAGTACTTGGGTGTGGAACGGTCCTTCTGGTGCTCCCTCCCGCATTGCGCCAGGGCTTCCCGCAGACTGCAACACAGTGAGTCAACCGTGAAGGCCGGGCAGAGCCCCGGACATCTCGTCGCAAGGACCTGGAGCCAGGATGCTCTCAGGGGCCACCCGGACCTCTCACAACCCTCCCAGCTCACTCGGGTGTTTCCAGGTCCTGCCCCCAGGCTGGAGAGCGACAGGTTGTTGGGCAAAGCAGGACCCACTGCGGACCCTTTGGGAGAGCAGGGCTTGGCCCGACTGGAGCGGAGCTGATGGCCCTGAGTGGGCACACAGGCTGCTGGGACACAGGGTTCCCCATGGTAGATCTCCGTGAGGAGACCTCTGTGTGCTCAGACCCCAGGACCCCGGGGCTGTGAGGATGGGCAGGGGTGCAAGCGGCTCCACTGACCGTCCCAGAAATGCCTCGAGCTCCTCCAAGGCCATGTCGTAAACCTTCTGCTGCAGGGAGTCCGTGATCAAGGAGGCCACCTGGATATTCTCATTCAGCATCTGCACAGGGAGAGGAGAGCGGAGGCGAGTCAGCGGGAGGCTGCACGGCCCCTTTTTTGGGGGGGGTCTCAGCAAGGCCGTGGCGCTGGGGACCCACCTGCATGACAATGACGGGCAGGGCTGACTGGAAGAAGCCCTGATGGTCCGTCTCGGGTTCCTCTTCCCTGAACCACTCTTTGAACTCCACCTCCAGGGTCCTCTGCATCCACTCGAGCACGCTGGCCTGTGGGATGGGCGCCCACCACGGTCAGCCCAAGAGCTCAGGTACCAACTCTCTTGAGACCCAACGCAGCAGCGAGTCCTGCGCCTCGTCCCACAGGTCGCCCTGCTGCCGACAGAGCAGATGCCAGCACCATGGTGGCGGTTGGGTCCCCTTATCCCTTGCCCGTGTCCCATCCCGCTCACTGACCTTGACTTTCACCACGTATTTCCTCTCTGTCTGATCCACGA